AAACTTTTAAGCTGCTTAGCCGTGGTGAGAGGCAGAATTCAGGCAATGGCTCGGAGCTTCGTGGGATCAAGGCTGATGCCTTTGGCGCTGACTACGTGCCACAAGTAACTAACTACCGAAAAGCCAAAAAAGCATTTGGAGGTTTAATGCAAAGGCGAGCGTCTTCGAGAGCACACAAGACCATTTACAAACGCTTGATGTGTTCGGGAAACGTGGGAGCATAGACAATTATGTCGTCTAAATATACCAAAGCCATCGACCACTTGTGATGCCCAAGAACCCTGTCCATTAATCGCTGAAATGTAGCAGGGGCGTTGGAGAGACCAAATGGCAGGCGGTTAAACTGGTATAGGTCATCTCGAGTTATAAAGGCTGTCTTTTCAGTGTCATTCGGGTCTAGTTCCACCTGCCAATAGACTAAAAGAAGATCCAGTGTAGTGAAAAAACGGGCACCATGCAGGCGGTCAAAGGCATCGTCAAGACGAGGAAGCGGATATACGTCAGGATTTGTGACACTGTTTAGCCGTCGATAGTCAACACAAACGAATTGTGCCATCTTTCTTTCTCACAAGAGCTACGAGGGACGTCCAAGGACTTGACGAGCGCGATATGATACCACGCTCAAGCATGTCATCCACTTGCTTAGCGATTTCTGCGCGTTGAGAGGCAGAGACTCGGCGCAGGTGATGGCGAACAGGAACTTCAGAGCCGGTGACGATTCTGTGCTGCACCAAAGGAGTGTGGCCGAGATCACTGGGTGACATTACCACGCAGTCATGGAATTTCTGTAGAAATGCTTGAATCTCGGCTTTCTGTGACGGAGTCAAGTTGGGGCCGAAGTTGAGTTCATTCCAGTATAAGGGTGATGCAGTCTGTGGCGAAGGTGCTATGGGCTGTACTACTGCTACAACAGACGATGCTTCAAGGTAGGTACAGGTACCGAGGACGATGCCTGACAGCACGCACAGGATGCTGTTGGACAGGTTGAAGACAAGCACTGCGAAGGTTTTGCCAGAACAGCGATGGAGGGCCCGCGGCATTGCGAATTCGCCTCCAGGCCGGGAACAAACAGTACTTTCTACAAGAATGTCCTAGTCAACAAAGGACCTGTCGGGGTTGTAAACAGGAACCCACGCAGCAGACGACAAGGGAATGGTAACTGAGGTTACCGTAATCACAGGATTGAAAAGCAGGGATGGATTTCTAATTTCAGGTTCTTCGCTTCTGTTCGTACCCATGGCCGTATTCTTGCCTGTTGTTAGAATGCCGACTTTCGAAGAAAATTTAGTAATCAGACTTTTCATCATGCGGCATTTGTCAGCGAGTACGGAGTGCACTTTGTCAACAGTTCTGTAAATGACATGACTCAACAAGAAATATGACTGCCTAGAACAAGCTTTATTGGAAGTTTCAAGACTTGCTCGAATCGATGTCGAAGTGGTAGATGTCCGTTCAAAGGTGCAATCAGTGCCGTTAAACTGCAAACTAATGCCAAACTCTGCGCACCAATCACAGCCTAAGATCACTGGCACACACAGGTTTGGGACAACAAGGAACCGCCGTCTCACTGTCTTCCCAAGCGCACACACATTCAGGCTGACTTCGCCGAGAGTAGGTAGAGTGGCTCCGTCAGCTAGGACGACATGGGGTCGATCGACCTGCTCAGGGCTCGACAAAAATCTTCCAGACAAGAAACTCATCGCTAAAACACTGAATGCAGCCCCTGTGTCCACTAGTGCTTCAACGTGCTGCGGCAGATCTCCAAGCTTCACTGGCAGAGTTGGCATCCCGGTGAAGGGGCCTAGTGAAAGAAGAGGGGCTTCAGCCATCATGCAGGGTCCTCGCCACGATGGCCCACATTGTAGTTTCCCGAGGAAGATTGCATAGGAGGAGCTGAATTTGTCAGCGACTTGGTCACTCGAGGGCAGTTCTGAGCAAAATGACCAACATCGTGGCAGTGGTAGCATCGGAGAACCGCTGTAGGATCGTGGAGCCAAGTAAGAGCCAAATGCCGGGTCCGGGATAGGTGCGTCCGTGTAGGTTGGCCTTCCGGTATGGATCCTGAGCTGCTTGCGAGCGTTCGGACGAGCGAGGCGGATGAAGTGCTGGACACTTCTGTTTTTATGGCACCAACAAAGGCATTAGCAGCAATAAGGTCCATGGTTGCAGTAGAGCAACCCGACAAGGCCTTCCAGGACAAGCTGTTGACGTGAGCAGCGAGCTCTTGAAGGTCACGGTGACCTTGCCAATCGTGTTTCAGTTGTATGAGGTAGAGCTGAAGAAAATGACTGTCGCCATAATTGGTTTCCAGCGCCGAGACCAGAGCTTCATAGTTCGAGCGGATGACTTGCGGGATGTACTTCGAGGTGTTTAACCGCGGCACCAGAGCTGCACAATGAGCACCTGAGCTTTATTTTGAACTGTCCAGCCGTTTAGGACAATAACGGACTCGAACTGCACCAAAAATGCTGCCGACGTGGTGCGATCGAAGGTAGGCGGTAGAAGTTGTACACTGAAAAACTGAGGCTTAGCTGACAGAGGAACATTTCGTTCGACCGCGGTAGACACACGTTACTGAAGGCCAGACTGCTCCTCAATGACTGAGAGCCGCACAGCTAGGTCGGCGACGACATCCCCCGTCGGGCAACGTTGGGTGAGGGTGGCCTCAAGAGAGAGCAAGCAGGTAGCAAAGCGAGTTTTGAAATCTTGCGTAAGGGCTCGTTGGGTGAGGGTGGCCTCAAGAGAGAGTAAGCGGGTAGCAAAGCGGGTTTTGAAATCTTTCGTAAGGGCTCGTCTGTCGGCCTCACCTTGTGAAACAAGGGCTTGCAGGCAGTCAGGTATAGGTAGACTGGCACCAGCGCTTGACTGTTGAGGGTGATTTGGCGTATCCTGGACATCAAACTCCGACAGAAGAGGCTGATGGGGCGCTGGTGGCGAGATGTGTGATGAGACTGGGTTTGCCGCGGCCTGTGCCAATGCGTAGTTAAGACAGGAGGTTCCAGGGCCGTCGATGACGTGTCGTCTTCCGTAAAGTGCATCTGTGAAGTGCCCACTGTTGCTCTCATCGTGACGGCCTTACTCCTTGTAAACATGGGTTAACGTTGTCACCGCTGCCACCAAATATAATGTACAAGAATCACTCGCTCGAACACAATCCAACACAACACTGTCTTCGTCGTTCTCTTTTCCCGTTCTACCCCTCACGCGTCGGTCACCCCATTGCTATGATCCACTACAATATGATAAAAAGAAGCGAGATCACAGGTGCTTGAAGTGTTCACTAGATGGACGGACGGACGCATGAAAGGATGGACAGACAAGCATACAGACAGATAGACACACGGATGGACAAACACACGGATGCACAGAAGGACGAACAAACGGGCACACGTACGGATGGACTGATGCGTGCACGATGGACTGATGCGTGCACGGATGGATGCACGAACGGGCACGCCTACAGATGAGCGAACGGGCACGCCTACAGATGAACGAACTCACAGACAGGAAGCACGGACAGATCGACGCACACTTTGCCTCACTTGTCATCATTCATTCTGTGGTTATGCCGTGATTTTTTTATGTGCTTCACCACACAGCACTTCTGCATTGCGATAGAGCTAATTTATGTTCCCTATTCTCGATGAGTTTGTAAAGCTTTTGGTGCAGTTTTCTACAACATAGGCATGGCAGCGTACTTATTCTAGGCTTGCATATTTGAAGAGCAAACATAGCTACAAGCAAGTTGAATGTGGCTGTAGACTACACAGCTTGTTGACATGCTACTGAGTTGGAATCGAAAATGGCACTTAAGTTCGACCATTTTTGTCAAGAAAAAATGAAAGGGATTTGTTTCGCATTGTACATTGTCTTAATTTATGACACCCCCCCCTTTTTTTCTGCACTGCAAAGAATCCTTTATCACTGTTGCCAATCCACAAGGGGTCCTCAAAACATCTATGGCTGAGGACCACTGAGGTAGTTGAGGGTCAGAAACTGTTGAATTTGATGTTTCACAAACTGACCTACATATTTCTACTTGAATTTTCCCACCCATTTCTGTTGCTTTATAAGATAATTATTTTTGCCTAATTAAGCAGTTAAACATAACACAAAGAATACTGTCGACTTTATTCATGTTATAGTCGGCAACACATATTTAGTCACACTGTCATAGAGTATGTCAGGCATATTTTTAAAGGCTGGCTAGAGTTAGCTGAGGTACCCTGTATATCATACACTCGCTGGTCACCACAGTATCTCACTATCTTGCAATGATCAGATAATGCACAAGAACCAAACATGGGGCCACATGCTGTTAGGTACTCATTTCCTTTGAACACGTACAGCTGCCCAATTCTTTGAAGTGGATCCACAGCTGAGTCGATAAGTGCCGTATCAGTGAGAGCAGCTATGAAGTTTACCAGAATACACATGTTTTCACATGATGAACGGTCCTGTCCAGCTGTCTTTTGCTACGCTGTTCCGGAGATCAGACACCAACCCCACTTCTTCTGAGCACTGTTATCAACATCTTTTTTTTCTCTGAATGCTGCCACAGAGTTTAAAAAAAGGTGAAGCGGCTGTGCTTGAGATAGATGGTATGCGATAGACATCTGCTGATTGCAGTACATGGATACCACTGTTTTTTGTTTTTTTTTACTGTAGTTTACACAGCCCGAGTTGCAAATGATATCTGCCATTCCAAGCGGGAAACAGGGCAATAAAGCAAAGGCAAAAATCAAGTGGGGTTGGGTTCATGTCACATAACGGCCCAGCAGACAAAAGCTGCACTGGACTGTACACTGCACTTATGCACGTATTTTTATTCATTACGCCTCTGCGCTACGTTATACGAAGCTTATTGACGCAGCTGTTGATGCTGGCAGATTCATGTTAAAAAACTGGGTGGCAGTGCCAACCAGCCCCAGTAAGAGGTCCTTTGAAGCCTCAAAATATTAATTCGGCAATCTGGACCTCAAAACAGTGAAAGAGCTTACTTAGTCTTGGGCATGAGATGTGATGGTCCCTGCAAAATAATGCAGGTGTCCGTGTCCACATGGCAGTGCTTTCCAGTGCAGGCTGCCGTGGTGTCATTTATACGAGGCCACAGGATCATGGTCAGAAGCAACTGCTCTTTGGCTCGTTTACCTGCACAAGGAGAGGGGCATTGTGGGCACAGAATAACAGCAAAACTGAGCAAGGTAGTTTCTATTCGCTGCAAAAAAAGTGGAGAAAGAACAAGATACAATTGAGCCCGCTTGTATCGAATGTGAAGAAAAATGGAAATTGGTTTGATACATCTTATAATTAGAGATAAAACTTTTAAAAAACTTCTCATACTTGCATAAAATATCCAAACACAAACTGGTTTCACGGCACCACTTCACAATAATGCCACAAAGGTAGCTTCAAGGCAACACGTTTTGGGGGAGGAGGGGGGTTGTTAGTAGTTGGTGACACGAGTTATATGCGGAAGCATGGTATACATATTAAAATACTCTATCTGTGAAAACAGCACTGCTTTGTGGGGTCTCGAAATGGCGAGCGAGCGCCACGCCACGCTCTTGGAGTGAACGAACACAGAAGACGCGATCGGTACAAACCTTACAGCCAACACACATTTATTCAACTAATTTAAAACGACGATATCGTCTGCCGAATCGGTACATCAATAGTGATCAACTCACTAGGACATCCTTACACACAATTTCCATACACTCCAAAACATGACAAACACACAATAACGTATCCAAGGCAGCGTCGCCAACGCTTGACTTACCACAAGGGCCCCCCGGCGCGCAGGCCGTAGTATTACGCGCCGAGGACCCCATGCTAGAGACAACCGTTCGCGGCAACCGCCACGCGCAGAAGAGACTCGCTCAACTCTCGCCCACCACCAAGGCTTGCTTCCGCCAGGGGTCACTGGCGGTGCTACCCCATGATGATGATGACGATAGTGGTGGCCAACTCTGGCGAACACAATGCCACCTACCGCCCAGTGGTTGTTACCCAAAATGCGGCTTTTGGGCGAGACCTGTGCGCCACGCGGCGCTAACAACGTTACAGGTGGTGTCAGCACCCCCACAGCCTATAAAAACTACTTTTTACTTACTGAATTTATCAACCACAGGCAAATACTTTGTTAGAAAAGCCAACCTCTTATGGCATTTCACACTTACCGATGTTCGACATGTGAAGTGACCCAGCTATTTTTATTCAATGCACCCATATTTCCCATGCATTGGCATGAAAGCATTATAACACTTTAAAATAGTTCAATATAAAAGATAATTCAATCTACGTGAGTTCAATATAGACGAGATTCACAGTAAAAATGAAAGTGGGCTAAATAGTGCTGATTATGTAGTAAGCTGACTGAAGCGTATCTGCATAAATAAATCTACTTCAGAGATTTTTCAGACAACATTAATGCAAAGATTATCTGCCTACACATTAGTGCCATTGCTGAAAGCAGGAACAATGACAGCATGAAAATACTGATTCATTCAAAAGAAGCTAGAGAAACTACTAAATAAAAATTTGTGTGATAAGGTTTCCCAACTGAATAATTATAAGTTAGTCCAACTATTTAAAAAATGTCAAGTTTATAGGGTTTATGCCAAAATTATTTCAATCAAAGAAAACAAAGCACAGTAACAAAGAGCTATCCAACAGAAGAGGCCACACACTTCACAAATTAGAGCAAGTGAAGTTTGATAAGCTGGCGATACAAAATAGTGAGTCATTATAAAAAGTGCATAAGGAATTTCAGCTACAAATAGTACATTCAAGCAAAGCCGTTGTGCCTTCAAAGCAATGTTATGGTAATGTGCTTAAGCAATCGTTTTAGATTACACTGCAGTCTGGCCATCCGAACACCACTAACACTTTTGCTAAGGTGGGTGCACCTATTTGTTTTCCAATGAATCTATGTACCAGTGTTACATGCTTCTCCTCGCCACATTTGTGCTTCCCATATTCTCTTTTTCAGTGCTGTTGTTCACCTCCATCTTTATGAGGCAGTGCTCACATTTGAAACCAGGATCTGGGAAAACAAATTTCGCTTGATATGGAAGCCGAAGAGACGAGCAAGGGAGGAGTGTGCCTGTGTTTCCTTCCTGCGTAATATTTGCCCTCTTATTGGATAATTATGTACCCGAAAATAGCGTAGCAGCAGAACTTCCAGATGCCGACACATATGGAGAAGAAATGTCGCATATAGAATATTATACCGCTACCTCCACTAAATTTGAATAGAATGGGAGGTTCTGTCTGGTGTTGTAAAACCATAGCTGCAAAGCGAGAAGATCCAGCAATTTCAAAACGCTCTGTTGTAGGGAATAGTGTTTTTTGATGAACTTCAGTCACAAGTCAAAGCCTTGTCCCATGTGTTACTTTCTTCTTGTGTTCATATTTGAAACTTGCTAAATTCTTCCACTTCAGATCATGCACCAAGTGGCCCAGACGACCACACAGCTAAATAAGTATAGCTATTTTGCAATTATCAAACACTGGTCCAGTGTCACTGGGGGGCCAGCAACCTATGCTGAGTTGCATTGATATTTCCACTATTTTGCCAGCATCACCAGTCTCAGAACCAGAGTTGACAGCGACATGCCATTGTATCGTTTCTGGTCACGTAGTGTGATACTCATATCACACGGGCACATTTGAAAGGTCATCCAGTAAATGGCCGTCAAGGTGACACAACTCTATCGATTCAATAGATTTGTGATGCTGCTACATGACAGCTTTCAATGGTCGCTGAGTCGTGCAAGCGTATCTCGCAAAACTTGTGGCGCTGCAGACCTTTATTTTCATTTTCAAGTAATCAGACGTTAAATCACCCAAATACACTTTAATGCACAAATATTTCAAATATATTCGTTTAAGCATATGAATAAATTGTTCACACATTTTCAAACATTTATGGTTAGTTTTAAAGTAGTTGAGAAGTGAAACTTCCAAAATTTGTGCTCCTGCCACACTCTCAACAACACATAACTGTCACCATTTTTTAGAGTATTTATTAATTGATTATTAAAACTAAGGCACGCTATTTTCAGGGCATACTGGTGCTATTTCTTTTTCTATTATGAGAACAAGCATACTGTGAGTGAGAGGGCACATTTGAGCTATTTCTGATTCTGACACTATATGGTCTTGGGCGCTTTGATAGAGTCATAGAGTGCTCCACTGACTTGATTGACTTTTGACTCGGCGACCCTCAAGTGCGCCCATGTAGAAACTCGAACTAGACCTCTGAGTCAATGAAACGTCAACTCGCAGATCTTCTAAACATCCTTGTGACACAGGTGTGACTATCTCTTATGTGACGGCAGCCAGAAGTTCCACTGCTGTGCTCCTTGGTGTACAGATGTGTGCATTACCAAGGTGTTTCATTCAGCAAAGAAAAAACTGTGAAATAATAAACAGAAACTCTTGGCCGCAAGTGCGTGAAATATTAAAACATATGAAATTCTCACCTGAAAAACCCAGCATATATCCCCGAGCATTGCCATGCCAGAAGACAGGACTGGACAGGGCTTCCCGAAAGAATGTCGCTGGAACAGCCACAGCAACTGTTACATTGGGGCTGTCATCTTTAGGGTCGCCAGAGCCCAAGTCGGGAAGCAACGCACTCAGACTTTTCGCCCTGTCAACTGCCTTGACACCCGGTACATCCGCAGTTGCATTAGAAGTGGTAACTGGGGGTGCAGAACGTTTGCTGCCTCCAAACTGTAGCCCCCCACTCCCAGGATTCGACTGAGGTCCGACACAGTAGTGTAACTCGGAGAGACGTGTAAGAAACACGTTCCAATCCTAGAACAGGCAAGAAATAGAATAATTAGGAAGAAAACTTCAATGATCAGCCGTGAAAACACATGACACATTGCATATGTTGCCTGTAGAAAAATGAAAATTCATGCTATATTTATCTACGGTAATAACAGAAAAGGTACAAGAAGGCCAGGGAGGCATCACATGCAGAGAAAGCATACCATTATTATCATCATCATGTTGAGTATTTATAGCCTTCATGTCGAGTCACCAGCATTGTGAAAAGCTGCACCTTAGTTTGATCTATTCGACTTCATCTTTTCTCCGGCAGCGCTATGGTACTGGCAAATAGGACTTCAACATGGCAATTTTTGTATTTCCAAAAGAAAGTCCACAACATGATGCAAGACTAGGTCACAAAAAAATAACTGTAAATGTGCAAGTGTCAATATCATCGTGGCTTTTAACAGCAACAAACAATATGTATAATACCCAGTGAAATTTTAAAAAGCCCATTTACCCAAGGAATTATTTGTCTTAACCAAGATCACTGTATCAAGACTGCTGCTTAAGAACTTGTGACAGCACATAAACCCTGAGAGGTGTCTATTATTATACCAACAGCACAACATAACTATTCCTGCAATTAAGCATATTTAAGCAAACTTAGATGGAGTGTGTCCCAACACAACACGTCTGCAGAATGAAAGCTTGCCAGAAGTGCAAGCTGCTGCTTAGAGATTGCAGATTGGCACGGTCTATCCGTACATCAAGGCATATATTTTGAGAGACTTGAGAGAAATATTTTGAGAGAGACTTGAGAGATTCGAGTAAGGCCAGGTTCACTCTCAAGACAAAAATAAAGCATAGAGAAAATGCTAAGATTACCATGTCAATGTCAGGATTGGGCAGCTCTGTGCCTCCAATAATGTAAGCCAGCACAATCATGGTAACTCCAAAAGCCAAAAGGCATGAACTGAACACCAGCAGTGGTGGATGACTGAGGGCAAAGCCTCGCAGGTTTTGTACTACTCCCACAGTCATGGCTGAAAAGGTGAAAAGAAGACAGAAACAACTGTCAGAATCAAAGGTCAGCTTTTTTTTTTTTTTCATTCAGACTCCACCTTATTATACACCTGTAAAAGAACAGCTAAGTGACAAAATTTCCACTAGTCACTGTCAGCAGCAGAGATATGATTAACCCATCACAAAAATACTTTCTGCAGAGAGTTGTTTGATTGGTTTGTAAGCGACTTACAGCAACAGCTAAGCTACAAGAATCTTACGGTAATGTGCTTTAGAATATTTTTTTTTTTACTAAGTTGGAGCTAATGTGCAGCTGAACATGCATGCACTGGAAGGCACACTATTTTGAAATGTACGTGAATACATCGAAACGTATTTCACAATTAACTGTGGCGTTTTGCAATTAATTAATGCCTCATTAACATCTATGTTTGCGCTCATTATGTAGTTCACACCACGTGCTCAACAGACAAACGCATAGTGAACAAAACAAAATGCACAGCTACTTTACAAATTGCAGTATCAATACAATTACAAATTACCATTGCAATATGTTTTACGTGCATATACCAACAAAAACCACAAAAAGCAACGTTGAGATGCTGATAAGTAAATGGTTAAACATTTCTCGATATAATCAGTTACACAACACATTCTGATATCTACACAGACTTTTCAAACCAGTAAGAGGAATATTGCGTAAACAAACACGTCAGATGCAGATTTTATACGTTCCACTTCAGGCACATTCGCTACTGGCAAACATTTGTCGCGACTTTCCACTTGTACAACATGCTTACATAAGCTTAATTTAAAGCAAGCAGCGCTCTTGCACGAAGTCAGGAAAGTCTTAGAATTAAAATTAACTGCACCATGACATGGTTTGGCGCATGCATGTATACCTCGAGAATCGCGGGCAGTTTCCCGAGCGCTCACAACAACAAAACGTCACGGCCTTACATGCTCGTTTTGTTGCGAAACGCACAAATCCAAAATAGCAGTTCACATGCTAGGTTCACAATGTCGGTTCAGACTACCTCGAACACAATATCAATACAAAGCAAGCCCGAAGCTACGCGTCAACTACGAAAACAGAAAGCAAACCGCGATCTCCATACGAACGTAGTCGGCTACAGCTTCACACTAGAATGGCTCATAACGACTTGTGCAATTTTGTGCCATAGCACTTGTGCGCACGCAGGTAATAGTATTTTGACTGGAAATTAATATAACTTAACTGTTGATTATTAAATATATTTTTTGACTTGTTATTGCCGTTTTTTGCAAACCATGCTGCAAGCATGTTAAATGCTCAGCCGTGAAATCACCCAGGAGAGCCGAGCCAAGACAAAGATTAAATTTGTTGACTTCGTTCGTTGGTCTGCTACGCATTCGTCGAACAATGACAGGTACGACACGTGATACTCGTGCCGCTGCCAACACAAATAGAAGACCGTGGTGATCGACACAAGTGCTGACCCATTCAGAAACTAAGGTACGAAAAGCCTGTCAGCATGTCAAGCAATGTCCTGTGGGCGCGGTCAACGCTAATGCAGTGTTCGGCCTGCGTTCGTTGGTTGTCCGGAGATGCTTCAAGGACAGTTACCTGGAACGATGTATCGACTGCTTTGCGTCCCTTCTATTTCATTGTGCATCCCGACATGTTCTGGAATCATCCCGCTGAAAAACAGACGAACGAGAACTCGCTCAAGCAACTCAACGCTTACATCGAGTCCCTGTTGCAGAAGCAGACGGCGAGGCCATTGAACCTTAACTTCTATCTGCGCAACACAAAGCCCGCGACCTTGCCTCGGCAGCCGTTCAAGAACGTACAGATCAAGCTCGCCAGTCAGAACGTCCACACCACCGTGCACAACGTCCTCACGTCGTGCAGCCTTCCAACGGACAATCTTGATTCGCTCAACCCGAAACCGCAATCGAAGTCAGCCGGTGGCAGGCCGGAGCACAGGCAGTCGCCGGCGTCTGCGAGGTACGAATACGAGCCTCCAGCGGGCGATGACTTCTTTGCTCGCCACGAATGGACAGGTGGATGGTCGACCTGCGTACAATCTGGAGAGGTTCTTGCGCGAGAACATCCACACTGCGCGCGAACGCTCGGCTGCGAGCGGTCCCGTGCGAGAAGAAGTGTTTCGCCTGTCCAAGGAGACGGTTGCTGAGCTGAGCCTCCAGGACCTGCGCTGGGAGTGCGACTGGGGATCGGGTCACTACCGCGGATCTCTCGAGAGCTTCCGGCGGCTATGCCAGCAGCACCCCGACGTCGCTGCCAGCATACGCGGCCGCACGCTTCATTCTCGGCAGAACAACGGGCGTCTCGCTCGACGGCCACATCGTGCTGAGCATCGAGGACGTGCGCCACAGCTGGCTGTCGCTGCTGCGTTCGCTGGCCCGCTACGACGCTTACGTGAGGCTGGTACCGCCCGCCGAGCGCGCCCTATCGGAGACGCTTACGCGGGATTCGTGTCGAGCACCGCAAGTTTAAGCCGGCAGTAGCAGCCAAGGCGTATGTGCAGCAGCTGAGCAAGCTAACCATGGCACTCTATAGGTTCGTGCTTCCCTGCAGGGATCAACTCTGTTCATACTTCCCTGAAGTTGTACATGCATTCTGCGATTAAGCAGATGCAGTATTCACGTGCCAGCAGTGTACATTTCATTTCTATATTGTGTGGCATGTTGCTAAAGCAATGGTAGTACACATTCTGGTACACTGATGTATTGACACAGTATAACAGCAGCAGGTTTCGTCAAAGGCCGCTTAAATAAGGCCATTGACACAAACCTTCATTCACTCACCGGAGGCAGTACTAGTGCTGTGAACATCAGATAGACTTCCATGTTTCCATTTTCCACCAACAAATTGTACAAGAGATGTACAGTACTCATGGATTCAAACACGGCATCAATTTTTTTAGTATAAAGACTGGCATGTGCAATTGCTTCACATGAGCAAGCAATGTCGCGAAGAATCTGGTCTCTAAAGACAACATTGGCTATGATTAAGCGTTCGCCTAAAATTTCACCAATATGACCCAAACTGAAGATGGTAGACACGAAAGTGTATGCATTACTTAGCCTTAAATTTTACTAGCTTCAATCCATGAGTACTGTACCTTTTGGAGTAGTGCCAAACAACAGAATAGTGCATATGCAAAGAGACAAGAGAGACAACACATGGTCTAGTCGGGTGAGTTAGCGCTCCTCCAACACCTAAATTAATCTACCAACAAGCTTGAAATTCGGCATCATTCCAAAAGATATGTACTTGCACACAATGTAAATATGAAACAATGGATTGGTTTAGATTGACAAATCTTACCCTGAAGACGCTAATGTTGTTAATTTAGTCATCATGGGCATATCAGTAGAGGAAAAAATCAAGGTTAAAGTTTCATTTTTTAAATTTTGCACTTAAATCTCTTCGCATAACAATATGGATTTCAATGTAGAGTGAACTTTTAAACTTTTGGGGACATTATCTCAATTACATTTATTAAAACTTGATATGTGTTAAGTCTCTGACTCTCTCAGAGGACAATGTACTCAATTTTTACCGAGTGGGGACTGTGTACGTCCTGGTAGATGTAGTACGTCGAAATCTATGACATCGCAGTGATTGGCGCTCTAATTTCTAAATGGTATGGCCACCTGCATTTCGGTTTTCAGCATTTTCTTGCTTACCAAGCATCTTCACTTGGCAAATGTGGTAATTTTCATATTTTTAAACAGCAATTTACTAATATGAGAAAAATCTTTCTCTTTAGTGAACATTAAAAATAACAGTTCTACATTCAGAATGACACTCATGACTCCACTAGTTGGACACCTCATCTGCAGCAGCATCTGCCAAGTATGAAAAGGAGTGCGGTACTGTCGTACTCATGTTATACTGTCTCAATGTCTGTAATTGAAAATCGAGTTAGTGGTGACCGATTCATTTTTACTCATTATCTCAGGTAGGGATTCAAAAATGTAATGCATAAGGGAAGCTTCATACAAATTCCTAATGAAAGGCTCGTAAACAACCTTAATCATAGCATATATCTGTGGAAAACTGTTTCTTCATTAATTGCTCGTGAATGAATTGTGCTCATACAGCACATTACTGGTGAAAATTGCTAGGGTTGGGCTCAACTTGTCAACGCTTATGTTACCTTTGCTCTAACTGGCATGGATCAGCTGCCTTCATCTTGTTACTTTGCCATGCTCCGGTAGATGGCAGTGCACATCGTGCTAGGCAACAAAAGCAGGAGCAAGCTTCTTTGCACAGAGGAATGGAAACATTTTGGCAAGAGAACACAAAAAACATCAGTTATTTCCCATCACAACTCAGAATAATAGCGTGTAATGTAAGAGGTTGAAGGAGACATGTTTTTTCTTATTCTGCTGGCCCACTGTAATGCGTCAAGAATGAATATGTATCTTTCCAGTTATTTCCACAAAGAACAGGAGATATGCTGGGAGATACTAGTTGTCGATTGCATGCAACATAAAGAAACATTGTTTTTGTTACAGACACATTTGGACCAAGGGCCTCCCTGATGACTGGCCAGTACGTCTCACAGACTACCAGTTGGGTGTTGAATGCGAAGCTGGCCCTCTAATGCTGTCCCCTACTGGACAGTTCTTGACGCCAGCCTCCTGCCCACCGGCACTTCTCGTAGATTTCATTGGCTCCCAGTTGTCCACGGCCGAACAGAGACGTCTTCTCTACAGAAGCCAGCGACGCGTTGAAACACAGCTCCACCAGCTGTGTGTCGAAACACTAAATCTGGAGTCGCTTTCGAAAGAGGATGATGTTACGCCAGATCGGATGGCACTTTGCTGCGAGCGGCTCCTCAGGGCAGCGTTGTGGCTGGAGCCACTGCTAAGCGGCTGCCGTCTCCACGTGTCCCACTACTGTAGTGTCCTCCAAGATGGCCTAATCTGCCTGCCATGGGACTGGCACGAGTAGTGAGAATGTCATTTGCTCAATCACTCTCTAGATTGCAGCTTAGAAACATGTCGCAACAAAAGGTATAGAAGTGTGGAATGACACTGCAAGCTGTCATTGTTCTCGTTTGAAGTCACGGTGTAAGCACTCCATATTTGGAAGTGAGAAGAAGCCTATACCAAGTGCTTTCAAGTGTAGTTCTAGGTTTTAAAAGGTTATGAATGTGGTGCATGAGTGTGCCAAGAGTAATTTGTAATTATGATGCTTAACAGGGTGGGGGCGGGGGTTATAAGAAAAGGCTATGTTTTTCTTGGTTTTGTATGATAGAAGCTGTATGAAGCCACATGTGGAAATGATGCCTCAAAGTGTTTCTCAGCCTGCAAGTATTTTCTGTGCATATTATGCGTGATAGGAAACAGCCAGGACAGGCAGTTATCTCGTGGCAGCTGTCTTTTTTTTTGGGGGGGGGGGGGGGGGGGGGGGGGTAGTTTACACCTATATTCACTAAGTTCTTACAAATCAATAATCATATTTACTTGTTGCTCTCATTGTGACATAACCATGAGGATTTGTATATGCAACTTTCATTAATAGTATATACATGGTTAGAGAGGGAAAATGAGAGTGAAGTTTGATTAACCAATATTTTTATTGGTTATCCACTAAAGAAAATCTGCTTTGAATTAAATCTTGCTTTCCACAAGTTCTTGTGTACAAGTTCTTGTAACTAAATGTAACGAAATGCTGCTCACAGCTTTGAGTGATATGCAGGACTTCAACAGTACCATAGCTGGCGCTCAGAAGACTAAATGAGGGCAAAAATTTTATTTATTGAAGTATGTATTGTACAAGTGTACAAATGCGTGCATGTTGTATGGTATGCACAAGAAATATACACAAATATAATATGTTGGTGAATAAAGGCACACAACGTGCGGCATGTCTGATTACGTGACACACAAATGTTTAGTGATTCCTCTTCACCGACTTACAGGCTTATTTTTAATAATCATCAGGCATGTGTATTACATGCCTTGCATCAAATCATCAAGGGTATGTTTAAGTAGTGACATGTCATAGTGACAACGCAGATGCACACAGGTCTTCTTTTCTTGTCCCTGTTTTGTACCGCACCCCACTTTTTGCATTTAGAATGAATCATTACGTACTAGTCCAAATGACTGTTTTGCTGCAATACAGATGACCCACACATTAATGCAAAGTTTGACCAGAACAATGATCTTAATATTAGGCGACAATCAAGCCTACCATTTTAAAAATTATTGAGGAGTCTCCTTCGACGGCTTAGTTTTGTCTAAAACGTGAACTGGTTTTGATAAAATCAGCTTGTGTTTCTGAAAAAAAAAAAAATCTACATGTTCGATCTCTGCATCACAATGTGCACCAAATAGTGTGGTCAGGTGGAAAGTTGAAAATAATTCAAACGAAATTGTGAACACACTTGAAAAACTTATATTTAATCAATGTAACACTATGCAAACTTTCAACTGACATAGATAGTCTATGTTTGTCCAAACAAGACTGGAATTAGGCTAAACCAGCCTAATTCCAGTCTAAGTATGACCATTAATACTGAAATAAGGATCCTTTAAATAGAAACCTTCTTCATATCATGGCAAACCATTTCACAAAGTGACGCTTCAGCGACAAAATCTGTCTGAAAAGAAGAAAATGCCCTTCAAAATGTCCTTTTCCCAAGATTAAATGCCTCATCTTTCTGTTCTTTTTTTCAAGCAGGCAAAGTCTTGACATTTGTTCTAATTCTGCCACAGGCATTTCTGGATGCCCTGTGATGATTTGGGCACTCACCAGAAACTGTCACTCTACAAAATCACAAGAATACAAGCAATGAGCTCATGCAGACAGGCGAGTACTGCCAAGGCACAAGCAGTCTACAGAATCTGGAGCAATATGCCAAAACACAAATATTTCTAAAACTGCTGCTTGGGTGAGTGGGTTCATGATTAGGATGAATTTACCAGTGCAAAAAGATGAAACATATTGGAAGGAATGTACAGACACAGCACAAATAAAAAAATATTGCCACTAGATTGACTGACAAAGCATATAAGAGGCATTGCTTACATACAGGCACCCAAAGTATATTTTAGTGATGTGCAGTACTATTGAATTTTAGTAGCACTTGAACTAGCTCAACCTTAGGCTTTGATGAGCTAGCAATCACTCAGCAGAATCTGAGATGGCCATATAAACAGTGAACAACATAATGTGTGAACTGTTAGCAAACGAAACACGGTGGCATATGACCAAGGATGTCAAACACAATGTTTCCTGAAGGTTCAGAAAAAACAACAGTGACACTAGGAGCCTGTTTGCTTAACATGGAATGAAAGCCACCTGTGCGGTATATAATACATGAAATGTCACTGCACTTCTCTGCTTTCAGTTCACACTTCCTGGCAAACGAGACCTGGAACACAAGGTATCTTTAACAGTTTCATTCATATCCAAAGTATTGGAACCAAAGTATGCGACACTAAGCTAACAATCTCATGATCACAACATGACTGTGGCTACATTTGGTCATGGGCTTCAGTCTATTCACAGCGAGAGTATAGTACTTTGCAAGATGGCAGTTTTGTCAACAGTAATGCATAGAAACATACAAACTTCAACATCATGACTTAAAGAGCACTTTGATGTTTGTTGGTTGCTTCCAAATGCTCGTGTTGTGAGCGGTATGGCACATAGCGCTGGGCAAGAACTGGCGCATTCAGCATGGTATGTCCGAAGGCTACATAGCACTAGCCCTCAATCATCCATACAAGAGCACTCTTGATATGCACAGGTGGAAAGTCCTACTGCACACAGTGTAGTTTGGAGCCAGATCACGCTTCCTTCTCCATCTCCAGTGCGCTCAGTTGATCGTGCCCGATTGGTACCAATGACTCCCACTGTAGTTCCCATGACCACCAATGCAAAATAAAGAGCAGATGAGGTTGTAAAAGTGACCACACATACCTTGTTGACATCAACGTACCACAAAAGCTTTCCTTCGCTCTGAAGAGAAAGCTAAGGAGGTCGAGTTTCTAGAACTACACAGTATTCACCTATCCAAAAGTGACACGAGTTTTTTTTTAATTATTATTAAATTGTATGAGCAATTGCTCATGACAGGGGCCTAGCCAGAAACTTTTTGAAGCAGAAGGTGGGGGGGGGGAGAGTTCAGTGATACTTTATCTATGTTCGTGCATCCTTTTTTATGACTGCGTGTATAGACACGAAAACATAATTTAAACATTTTGGGAGGAGGGTTACGAGCACAACCTCTCTTTTTAGCTACACCACTCGCTCATGATAACCACACCTAAACATAAAAAAAAAGAACAGCAGGCCTGCTTGCAACGTGCAGCACAGTCGCAGCAAAAGGAAGAGTGGCCTTTCAGAGCCTTCTTAAAACACTCTTTGGGTAACTGCTATAGCGGAACTTGCAGGGTACCCACTACACTACAAATTATCATATTTTTTGTGTATTAGAAACGAATTCACTATGTCATCCTTCGTCAGTAGTCAAAGAAGTGTGGTACCCGCTACACACTTGCACGGTATTTTGTGCAATTTTTTTATGCCATGGCTGATGATGATTGATTATACCTGTAGCTTTAGAATAGGTTGGAGCAATCGACGACCCACTTGTTATGCAATTCGCATTGTTTGATGCCCGATTGTTCCTTGGCTGTTCTGAAATGATTTATTACTCATATTAACGCATTTTTTATTTTTTTTTTGCTGACATCAAGCCTGCCTAAGGTCAGTTTTTTATGTAGTTTCAAGCACAGGCGTAGCTCTGTGATAGAACACCCAGCTGGCTGGCAGAATACCCGGGTTCGTATACTATTGGGTTCTTAATGTATTTTTTGTTTTGTTTTTTAATGTGCGATAGTGGTTATGGACACTGGCAATGGTGGACTACCACGGTGCATGTGACCTTTGTGATCTCATAACAGCTTTCGCTGTAATAGTATCTTGGGTCCTTTGTGCCAAAAGCATTATATTGATTATGAGGCATGCCATAATCGAAGTCTTCGAAAATTTTGGCTGTCTAGTATTCTTTAACGAGGCCAGGCTACACTTTTCCGAGTCATAATGAAATAGTCTCACTATTAGTGCATTACGTGTCTGCGTGACATGCTGCAAGAATATTTAGAATTTGTCAAATATATACAAGCGGAGTTGCACTGTAGCTCACAGTGCTCAAAGGTGTGGGCGTCGGCTGTATGGCGCAGCAATCTAAGTATATGGCATCATTCAGAGAGAGAAAAGAGAGCGATTTCAGGCTGACTTCAAGAATTAATTTCAAGCCATGGGGTGTGCTGTCATGTTTGGCTCACGTGTTCTCGGGAGCCTCGACTACCGATAGGTAGCATTTGCCCACTATGCTCAAAGAGTGTTGCAGGGCCCCTCTAGTGTACCCTGAAATAGCACAGCACGCGAGTCTCAAGCGTTTCGCCTAAATAAAAATGCAATAGCCACAGCCAGGATCGAACCTTTAACATTTGGGTCACAAGCCGAACATCGTCACGTTGCTGCAAATCTTGCTGCTAAGGGTAATGTCTAAGGTGTTCTCTGGTAAGGTTGGCTGCAATATAGGTGTTCAAGTCCAAATTACGCCGATATGATGATTGATTGATTTGTGGGGTTTAACGTCCCAAAACCACCATATGATTATCTTTAACGTGCAACCAAATCTGAGCACACGGGACTACAACATTTCCGACTCCATCGGAAATGCAGCCACCACAGCCGGGATACGAACCCGCGACCTGCAGGTCATCAGCCGAGTACCTTAGGCACTAGACCACCGCGACGGGGCGATTACGCCGAGATGACGCAAACTGTAGATGCTACAAAGAAATGTACACGCATTACTTGGCTTAATTTATTCGTTGAGCTTACTGTATTCCTACGTACGATAGTCCAGTTTGGTGTGCATTTTGTTCTTGTATGAAAAGTGATGGCTGCATGACATTAGCGTTGCACACCACCTGCTTCTTCTGCTTAGAAAGATATTTGTGGGCAAAGTTCGTCGGAAGTTTCTGAGGGGAATAGATGAAAAAGCCAGTAGGTGACAAATTTTCACTTTGAAAGTGGAGACACCATATAGTATTATAATCTGAGGTATGTGAAAGGTATGGCATTCACATATGTGCAAAAGCTTGAAAATACAAGATGTCAAGTAAAACAAATATAAACATCTTGCTGGTGTACCCCACTTCCTCCTTCAAATAGCTATCTGGAATGAAGAAGAAATTAGTAATGCTGTTTCCTTTTATTTCTCATATATAAAACATAAATGTAATTGGGGGAATATGTACATTAAAAAGGTAAAACTTGTGCTACTTGGCTTAAGCTTTGTTTTATTACCAAGAAAAGTTGTCTGTGAGGCTGGGACAAGTAATTCATATTTATAATGAATTCCCATGAGATTGACAATATATATGTATTAACCCTTCACATATAGGGCACTGAAATTTAAGACAACTAAAGATATTGCCACAAATAAGGTCTGTGGCTGTCCGTACACATTTGTTCAGTGAGAAAGCAATGGCACATTCATGAGCAAAATTATCCCGCTGAGCAATAATGTTTGCTTGAAAGGTCCAATGAGTGCTTTCTGTGCAGGCTTAAATCAAGTTATTTTCTCATAAGCTTACTATAGGAAAGGAAAATGTTCCAATTTTTTTAATTATACTTGTCTAAGCATAAATACAGCTTTGCTTGATCACTAATTGATATGATTAATTTTTACACCTTGATGTAACAATCAACAGGTGTGGTGCCAATTGTGCAATGCTAAAACATTGGCACTGTAAATTCCTGAAAATGAGCAGTGCACGGAGACCTATAAAAATGCTGAATTGTTTGATAGTGCTTAATAATATAGCAGTACACAAGAGTACATACAAGAGCATAGCCTGCGATATCTGATAGCGAGGCGTTAATAAGAGGAAATGATTGCTGGATCAGTTTGTACTGCACCATACAAGCTAACAGCAAATAAAGTTTCTCAATGTTTTCTGAGAATCAAATAAAAATTCAGAGCTCACAGTTTATTCTATCTTTTAATGCAAATAACAATCTTATTTTTATTATGAATCGCAGAGAGCTAATAACAGGATTAATTATGCTGACGGCATCAGGCTAGCACAAGAAATTCTGGAGCTGCAAGTAGTGTCCTAAATTTACTTTGATATCTTAATTACTAAATAGCTGTTGTCCATAACATTGATGCTCTAGACATCTTCAAGTATTGATTTATGAGCTTAGCCTAAGTGCAATAATACGGAAATGCGGGCTAGTTGGTTTTGCTGCATACTGAAGTTTTAGCGCACACACACGAGGACACAGATGAAAGGATTACAAGGACCAGCGCAGTGACCGCTCTGTAATACTTTCATCTGAATCCTCGTGTGTGTGCAATAAAGCTTTAGTATGTAGCCTAAATGGTTGTTTTAACCTCCCTTTAAAAGTCGAAGCAGTACCAAGATCAGTCATAAAGAAGACAATGCAAGTGATATGGGTTGGTGATATTGTCTTGGGGTCGTGATGTAGACGAATGGAGCAGTCAGCGTCCTCAAGGTGAAACTCTCATTTGGCTGAATGGAAACTGAAATTACAGCAAGCAATGCACCTGTGCTCTGATATTGGCACACAGAGCCTTGGTTGTCGATACTGACAAGCGATGAAATGCGTTGGCATTTATACATGTGCCATTGAATATTCCAGCGTTATCGCTAGCAGCCATATAAGTTCCAGAGGAATCTCTAATGTTTGCATTTTGCTTAGATATATCAGAGTGATCAGATAAAAAGTACTATATAAAATCCTTCTGCATGTACGTACATATTTCTTTAGCCCATGGCCAAAGTTGCGCACCACCTTGTACATGGTGAAAGCCAAAGTCAAGCGAATAAGCAGAGCAACCACAGCGCATGCAATCGTAGCCTTGTACAAAACGGTCCACGATTCACTGGGCTCCAGCTGTAAAGAATGAAAGAGGGTTACTTGCATACCCATTTAAGAAAAATTATGTTGTTTAACACTGCAGAGTAATGCACCTAGCTATTTGGGCCCTAGGTGTAGTTTTTCATTTCTTCAGGTCAGTTATTATAATTTTGTTACATGTCTCTAACACTATGTTAGGGAGCTCTGGATCCTACTGCAAAATGTGAGCACACCTGTGCTCACGTACTGTAGCACAGCTTTGTAACCCCAGATTTCTGCTCAAAAACCAAGGGATCGAATGGTGTCCCGGTGAATGGAAATACTAGATAAGCATTTGTCATGAATCTATGTCTTTAGTAAGCCCTCACAAATCTCAAGCAAATACAAGCATCAGCAGGGAACTGATGGGCCAAGCAGCGCACTGACAGCATTAAAACTACATTTTAGCATGAAGCCTTGAACGATCTGTTGAGGTTCGTAGCATTGGCTGTGCTGTTAATATGTTGTGAGACTGACTGTAGTAGTTTGTGTACTTTATAGTGACAACTATAAGGTGGCATTATATGTTTAAATTTTTGTGCAGATTACCTCTTTTATCAGTAGAATACAGTACTTTGTAGAATAACATACAGCAGTATACATAACAGCCACTCTGCTGGCACTTAGGGTAATCTGAAGTACATAAAATATTATATGTATATCTACACATATATTGACCAAGCTATAAAATCACTCGAAAGCAGACAGGACTCTGCATCAGTAAAAGCTATCCCGAGAGGGCCAAAAGTGTTCGCTTCAAATTAAACTAATCAATGTTTCTCTTGTATTAAACTTTGCCTTTATGTTTACACTAAGTTGCCTCTTCCGAAATGCTAAAGGCATGAGTATTTGCGCATGCAACTTACATCATATAGCTTCAGGCTTATGTAGACAACATTAGGGAGCCATAGAAGTACAAAAATGGATAGCCAGATCTTGCTTTCCTTGCGAATCTGCAGCAAAAACTGGAGAGAATTAAGAGGAAGTATTTTTTTTCTCATGCATGTAGATTTTTTAATACTACTTCAATTAAATCATTTTCAAATGTGAAATTGCCATGGGAAAATGGAGCATATACACTGCATGTGTTACAAACAGTCACTAGATCACTGTAGCATGCAGATTACTTAAGGAAAATAGGTTCATCTGAAGTAAACAAACCGAAATGCAGGCCTGTGAGAAACAGTGCTGATTGACAATGACAAGCTGGATCACACAGAAAGCATCGTACGCACCAACATCTACATCTTATCTACATAATATGCAGCTTGAATATGCAGCTATCGTATGGGATCCTTACACTAAAGCTAACATCGATGCGCTAGAAAGGATCCAACGTAAAGCAGTAAGATTCATCTTCTCCAAATATCGCACCAGTGACTCTCCAAGTGACCTAATGGCCCAACACAACATTCAGTCCTTGCAACTAAGAAGAAAAATTCACAGGCTTAAATTTCTATTCTTACTGTATAAAAATAAATTGTCTCTTTCTCCTGAACCTTACATAAAGCCTCTCACTGCTCGCCGAACAAGACATCGCCACTCTGCCACATTAACGCCTTACAATACCAGAACCAACATCTTTAAGTATTCCTTTTTTCCTCGAACAGTAGCCGACTGGAACAGCCTACCTCTTAGTACACTCAGCAACACCGACTCTATCGCATCCATTTCATCTTAGATCTAGCCCTTCCTCTTTCAATACAGTGATCCAGTATTTTACTAACTCCTTTGTACATTGATTAGATAGTTCTGTATTGTTTATCTTCTCATATTGTATATTATTTTTCTTTGTATCACATTTCTTTTAGTGCTCATTTACTTGTTAGTAGATTCACTTTCTTGTTGCTTTGTATAGATCCTACTTGTATATATTCTTGATATTTGCAGACTTTGTACTTTTTTTCGTACTTTTCCCCTCCTGCCTGGGCCTATTAAGGCCTGCAGTATTCCTAAATAAAAAAAAAATAATCTACATCTACTAGCACAGCTCATGCTGTGCTAGTAGTAACTGAGACAACTGAGAAATATACGTTTGAGTTTATTCAGCAACGTGACTAGTACATCAAAACACACTGTATATGTATGGGACTTGCCACAAGGGAAAGAAGCTGCACGTCACAGCGTGACAGGCTCCTACACATAGAAAAAAAAATTGAAGTTACAAACTTACAAAAAGTTACAAAGGAAATGCTGCCCGCATCTGGGGAACTCAAGTAAGTGCGTCGCAGAGTGGTGGGGGTATCGCGTGAATGTTACGTAATTGGGTGTAGTTTGGGAATTCTTAATTGCTATTTCGTCTTTATCATTCTTATTTATTGAATGAAGGAGTAGCGTTGCCTCTAATCGAGTGGTGGAACGCTGATGTGTGATCCAGTGCCTACATCTACGGGGTGGCCAGTGAAGGTTTGTGCAGCTTGAGCAGTCAGTTTTTACTATCAGACGCTACCTGCGTCGGCCTTATGAGGCGAGAGAAGGGGGAGGGGAGCAAGCAGTTGGCAGGAAACGCAAGCATGCCGTACGATACGTGAGGCGCGAGCATGCGCAGTGGGGGTGTGCACATCGCTTCTGACGCACAACACGTGACATCGTGCATAAATGCTCCGCATTAGAAAAAAAAATCTGATTAATGCATGTGTCCATGCAATTCAGATGATTAGACAATTTAGCATGTATGAAGAACTGCAGCTTCATGGAGGTGTGCATGATTCCATATGCTCCACTGCCCGCACTATAACTGAATCATATATCCTGCAAGCATAAAGAGGTTCTTTAAAGGGGGTTAGGAGCTTACTACTGAGGCATTCAAAAGTGCCTGACTGGCGGGGATATACTTTCATCGGGCCAAGTCTTTTCCTCATGAATTTAAGACTCTCTGCAGTGCACCTAAGCAACCATATCATATAGCATACCTGTGTCACTGAGAAGTGTACAATGTGTTTTGCATTGAACCTCCCACAGCTGTGGGACAATCTCTGCTGCATTATTGCATGCCTGTGGCTGAAGCAGGTGTATTAATGTGCTTTCATTATGCATGTTGCAAAGCGACTGGCATAAACAGGATGCTAAGAGGAGTTTCGCCACAGTTCTCCAGGGGAGGAGAGGGGGAGCTTTGTTTTCACTCTGGGGTTAACGAAACACCCGATGTCACTACAAAGCTTAGTGAAACTGAGCTGTGAATTGTTGTAGCAGTGCCACTTTCAGGTGCACCAAAAACACATTGTTTCTTGATCTGCTCGATGACCCACGGCACACACGCAGTATTCGTTTTCACCGTCCAACTTAGGACAGAACGCCTCCACAGTTTCTTTTTCATCAAGCCTGCACCTAAAGATATCCCCTCCTGGGAAATCTTTGTGATGGGTATAGTGCTTGTTTAACAACGAGAATGTGATGGACCTATACACAAGCTCAATGAACCGAGAAATAAGCTGTCAGTAAACGATCTGAATTAAAGCAGACCAACATGCCATCTCAAGCAACATCATCTGAATGAACCGTTTATGTTCGTGACTGCCAGGTCAAAGAAATTTAAACACGCCAGAAAAAACGGTGGTTTATCTGGTTCCCAACGAGAGCACTCTTCACACCCAGGACTTCTGGCATACTTAGGCAAGCTTGTAAAAGCTAGGCATTTCACAAGACCACCACAGCAGTTCGCGACCAGTGGTGGATGTGTGCACAAATTCTGAAATGAGTATGCTGTGATAGTATGTACATACACTCAAAACCAGATGATTATTATATTATATTGCTTTATGTGTATAGCACCCTAAAAGCAGAACTATTCAAATATGCACAGAAAATTCACTATACTCACAGTGCATTCCCCAGCAATGGCCCAGACCACGGTTACAACTGGTCCAACGGACAGCACAATGATCTCGGTATGACTCAAATCTGTACCGTGGTTCATGACAAAGATGAGCATGGTGCCCTGAAAGAAAGAATCCACTTCATCTGCACTAGCTTTGCCTCTTGTTCAGCTATTCGCAAAATTCAGGTGGTGTTCACATTTTTGCCAGGCCATAATCGCGCAATGCTATCACTCAACTTTTTTCGCATGTTTGTGGCTTATATAAGTGGGATTAAAAATTTTTCTGTAAGCATTGAAACTAAATACACATCTTCACACTGCCAGCAATTTCCTGGCTGTTTCTTAATAATAGCATCACGTTGCACCTACCCTCTTTGCCTCTGCACCAATAAGCATAATCGATGTTGGATGTTAACACTGAAAACTACTTTTGCCATGATGTTATAAAAAATGAGTAAGTTTGTGCCAGCTGTATTCTCATATTGTCCATTACTGTAGCAACTTAACTGTGACATAATGAACACATGTAATATAATAATTCTTAAGCATAAAAATGTATCACAGAAATTTAATGTTCATTACCAATACCAACATTTAATAAACCTGTAGTTACAGTATTTATGTATGTAACAAAGATATTCTCAAGTTCAATGTGTCCTAATTATAACTGTAGGTTCAACTTAACTGCTAATTAGTATGGTCAATAGCCAGCCACCTCTTCTGTGCAGTAGAAAAAAAAAAAGCTTACTTCACATGTGCAAGAGTCAAAGAAGCATTGTGTACTATTTTATTGCAAAATCATTGCAAATGCTTCCTTTCCAAGTCTGTACTTTATACCTGCAAAAGCAGATTTTTTTTCTAATTCCACTAACTCTATCAGTGGATTGAATATTCAGCTTTTTATTGACGATTACAAGTTGTGCCAAGCTCCAACCTGTAGCTGGACGTCGAAGAAGATGAGGGAGGAGCAAAGGAAAAGCCATCCGAGCATGGCTTGCAATTGTTCCGCGGCGTTGATGCGGAAAAGCAGCCTGCGCTCACTCCAGTAAGCATGCGCTACTTGCCCACCTAGGCAAACGATTCCAAGTAAAAAAAAGACAGCCACACCCAGCCGCACCTGCATGGACACCAGCCAGTTTGTACTCGGCGTTTGTAACTGCTCCCGCTTTTGCACACTATAATAAACGATTCCTCAGCAACCTGAAAACGTATCTGCTATAGACATTAAATGAAATTCAAATAAGACAGCAATCAAAGAGAGAATGGACGCTTGAAAAGATGGAAAAGTGCGTATTTTAACAGGGGTGTCGTAACTTTGTGGCAAGTGTACTTGTCTTCATCACGGCAACAGTTGTTGCCTCGATAAAGACAAGTTCCTTTGTCCAAACGTTGGCTCCCGCAACAACCCCAGTTCAAAGATTTTCTTTTTCATCTCTTTATTCACATGAAGCCATCACTAAAAAGAATACCCAAATCCATAGAGACTTCAGAGAGTTGTAAAGAAAGCTTTAAATTGTTATTTCCTTTTTAAAAAGAGTTCTCTGCCAAGCTTATTATGGCAGTGAATTTACTGTATCTTTTTCAGAACTGACGGTTCAGGAGTCTCGCTTGGAGATACAACGTTGAGGATCAAATACACAAGTAGAAGAATACTGCTAAAGATGAAGATGGCAATTTCATGGTATCTTTCCTTTAGAATCCCATGCACGATGTAGAAGAAACAGAATACTGAAAAAAAGAAACAAGAACACTGATGTCACACAAGCACAAACGATAAACACTTCTCAGCAGTGCTGATAATGTGAACTTAAAGGGGTCCTGAAGCATTTTTTCAGGTCATCGATGATTGACCTCAGTAGAAGAGTTTATACTGCTGACAGAGCTTGTATTGCTCTAATTGACCTCCCTACATTTATATTGTAGTGAGTTCGTTCACAAAACATATGGTAAACAACTGAAGTTATGAACAATAAAGTGGTGCGTGTCAGAATTACCAATTATTGTGGCACTACTCAGGAAAAATATGCTACTACGGAATGCAAACACAAATATGCCTTGACACATGAATACAACGGAACATGAAATCTGCAAAAAGCCATCTCGGCATGTCACTTTAATAAATTACTGTTTTAATAAAATACTTTTTGGGATGAGCACTTTAATTTGCAGTACCATGGCAAACAACCTTAACACAACACTTTACAAAACTGTAGTTATGACTAACATAAATATTACATCAAAGGGGCACAATCTGAAAGTTAAGTGAATTTTTATTGTCCTGATTATCCAAAAAGTTTATAAAAGCTACAGTCATTTATACACATGAGTTATGATTGTGTCTAAGGCATTAACACAAGTTGGCAGACAAATGCACGCGTAAGGGGACAGGAATTTTCGGGGGACTTGTTTATGTGCAGATTGGCAAACTGGCAATTGGTGATTGATGTGAGGGCATGTAGATAAATAGTATCATGTGAAAAGTTAAAGCAGGAAAAAAATTTCAGGGGGTGTAGGAACTCCCTCAACTACCTCCTAGTTAGAGCCCCTAGAAGGATGTTAAATTTCCCATATTGATTACGAGCAACTGAAACATATGACACTAAAGCACCACGGAAGGTGAAGGTAAGAGCTCTATATCAAGGTCATGCAATACGTCATATGTAAATGGTTGGAAGCCATTATAAATAGTACAGTGTTACAGCTGTTCTAAAATGCCAGAACTTGGATAAACAGCTTACATGATGTGAAGCATAACATGATGGCAAAAGTATAATCGTCCGTGTTCTTTTTTAAGCTTATCAGACGTTCCACTGTGAAACCTAGGGACACTAGGAGGCTCAGCAAAGAGATGGTGAAAAATTCCCATTCTATTTTAGATACAGCACTCAGTCGTTTGATCTGTAAAAAGAAAAGAACAAATGTATGAGAAAAAAAAGACATTTCATGCATGGGGAACTAGTAGGTGGATGCCATGGCGTTACTAGTTGGAACAAAACAGAAATCTAAGGCAGCATTCCCAGGCAATAATATTAGGACAACCCCACTTTCACAAGATTTATCTGTGCAACTATAGCCAAGGACCACTATAGGAGGTAGCGGCACTTAAACCTCAAAGGAAGATGCTGCCTAATGGGTGTGCTCAGAAGTCTGCCCCAATGGGTGTGCATTTTAGAGCGACATTGTGAATCGTGCGGTCATTTATTCTGCCAATAAAGAATGTGGCCATTAACATGAGTGTGACAGTTTATTCAATCATAGAGGCAATCAGATATACTCATATGGGTGAGGTATCTACTGCCTTCCTAAGTTCAGATACTCACCCAAATGAGTATCTCATTGCCTCTGCAATTAAATAAATTGTCACACTCCCGTTAATGGCCACATTATTTGTTGACAGAGTAAACGACAGAGTAAATACACACCAGCTCCAACAAGTGACAATGCTACTGACACATGAACTAGAATATGCTGTTAAAACACTGTAAACAAAGCCTTGCTGTCCGTATAGTGCTCACGGTATGACACGCGACATTGAAATGTCAAGCGCAACGACTGCTATGCACAACTGCCATAGGTAACCACATTGTGTGCTAGAAATCTGGCCACTAAAAGAGATGTCGACTCTTCTTCAAGCGTACTAGCAAATAATATATGCGACATGAACTGAAGAGGGTGAAAGCGAAAGTACTGTTGGAAGTGGATTTAATGAAGCAATGACCACACTTACTGTATTGTTAAATTGGGAAATTTCTAAAATAAAAAAAAAAAGATATTACTTGGACCTCTGAAATCTAAAATTGTAATGAAATGACACTGAAAAGCTACTGCGCCATCCCTACAAACCCACGCCTGCACATATGAAAAGTTCATGACGGCAACCCATGCGGGCATGCAGGTCTGGTACACAGTTCTGTGAAGCTATCATAGGCTGCTGATATGCAAAAATGGGGAGAACAAATGCCCAAATCATGCGAGCAGGCCGAGGAGGAAAGCTGCAATGAGACGATGAGTGCCATGTGTCACATTCAATGAAATAATGGAAACAATGACAGTAGTCTTCCTGTAGGAGCAATGGTGCCAGCGTGTAGCTTTGTCAAAATAAATCAAGCGTCGTGAGTAGGGCGGATACATATGTTTTTAGGAAAAACCCGCCTGGCGAATGTGCACCTTCGAATGGTTGGGCCCTGCAACAGTTTTTGAGCATGGTCAGAAAAGGCTGCCAATCGGTAGTTGCATGAGACTCCTGGAATTCACAACAAATTCCCAGTCAGCTGAAAAGCACTTTCTCCTGTCTGGTGAAATGATGCTATACAATCAAGAACAATTGTATCATAGGCTAAGTATCACGCCGATGGCTGATTTGGGCATGGCGCGCTCAGAAGTTACTGGGGCCTCCACGGGAGGCCGCGACATGTCTGCGCGGGCACGCGAGATCGCACTGAACAGCCACGCTTTTGAAGGAAAGAGAGAGAGAGAGAGAAAGTGCGCGAGTATTTTCTTTCTCCCTGCCTATTATAGAGTCTATCCGTGCCATTCCTCGCTGCAGTGCTTTCGTCGGGACGAGATAAGAAAGAACGGAATTACAGCGCGCGCATGTGATTGCAACTCTGCTCGTATTGGAGGGATTCTAAAAAAAAAAAAAAACGCTGTGGTGAATATTGTGAGGCAATGAAATCTTTTAGTGAATTAATTTATTTATCGGCTGCTTCGAAAAGCGTTGCACTTCCTCACGGAGGATTTTCATCAGTATTGATCTCCTAGCTGATCCATCGTCGAATATAAGCTTTCTCAGTTGTGAGCAGTATTACTTAAGGGAGCCCTGAAACACTTGTTTAAGTAAACATGGAATTGATTCATTAAATGAGCTTATTTTCTCACGAATTCAACGCCGCAAAGTTTTTTTTTTTTAGATTCTGTCCAGTACGAGCGGAGTTACAAAGGCTTGTAGCATGCTGAAATCCCCCCCCCCCCCACTTTTTTTTTTTTCAGGAGTGATTGCATGTTACCCAATGAGTGCTTAGAAAAGGCTCTGAAAGGCCGCTCTTCTAGCTTTCGCTGTGACTTCTCCCGTCCCGTTCAAAGCGAGGAGAAAATACGTCAAGCACCCCTCGCGACCTTCAGCTGTCTCTCTCTCTTTTTTTGATTGTGGCTTTTCGTGGGATCGCGCGCGCATGCGTTGACAAGTCGTGCCGCGGTGGCCCGCCCCAACAACGGACCGAGCACGCCATGCTGAAATCAGACAATGGCTTATGCAATGGCTGTGACGAGTAGTTTTTGAGCTCGTAGCGTATTTCGCCGAAAGAAGAGATAGCAATTTTTCAGCTGACCGTGAGATTTCATTGCGAATTCCAGGCCACGTGCTTCGCTGCAATATCCGGCTCGCGTGTTCTCGGCAGCCTCTTCCACCAATCGGCAGCGTTTTCCGAACACGCTCAAGAATTGTTGAAGAAAAGGAAATTGTTTGGTGCAGGGGCGTACTCAAGGGGAGGGCGGGGGTGAAATTGAACCCCCCCCCCCCCCTGCCACCCTTTCGCTACGCCCCTACACTCAATTTTTAATTTTTCTTGTGTATATACACACGAAGACATACAAACGCGCGCATACATAGACCGTTTTTCCATCTTTCCTGTCTCTTCTATCCCCTCAGTTTGTTGTTGCTTCTTCTTCCTCTTTCCTATACTTTTACCTCTACCCTTTTATCCCTCCTTACCCCCATCCCTTTGTGAGCTCTGTGGCGGTGTCGCTCACTGAAGCAGACAATAACGGGGCTCACTTTTCTCTTCCTTTCTCTCAAGAACCACTCCGAACATACAGAAACTACGGTTGAACCCCCCCTCCCCCCCTCGAAAAAATTCTGCTACACCCCGTGGTTTAGTGCATGGCTACACCCCAAGGTTTAGTGCATGATGTACTTTCATTTCTTTTTTTTAAGGAAACTTACACGACTTCGTTACACCAAGGCTTTGCCTCTCACCACATATACTGCACACAGATGCAACAGTACTATCATCAGCGATATGTATGTATGTATTATGTATGTATGTATGTATGTATGTATGTAGTATGTATGTATGTATGTATGTATGTATGTATGTATGTATGTATGTATGTATGTATGTATGTAGTATGTCTGTAGGTATGTATGTATGTATGTATGGATGTAGGGGGCACTATGAGTGTGCGGAAACTATGCAGTTCTGAGCAGGAAATAGTCGAACCATCATTCTGACAACAGCAGTTGCATGGTGCAGGTCTATTCGATTTCCACGCGCGTAGAGCTTCGTGCGTGCGAGCCTTCAATTTTCTCGGTTTGATCATACAAACATGTGAAGGATACACTCAACTAATCTTGAAGGTCGCTTTGACGTACAGCCATAATCGTGGGTACTGATAGACCGGGGACGGAATAGATAAAATATGCAGCCTCCAGCGCTAGCTGCATGCGCCCCAATGCTATCAAATTGTACGTAGTTTTTATCACTTCCTTAAACACCAAACGCCTGACGATACATGATGTGTGGTTGTAACGCACGTGTAACAACCAATAGGACCACGCGCGCGTAACAACGCCGGAATCAAATTCTCGCCAGTCGGAAGTGCTTAACTTGTCCGGACGTCATTGCCGACAACGATATGATACGTGGTTACCAGCTACGCGATCAAGGGTGACAATTGATTGTGCCATAAATGTCGTGCATGATCTTGTGAGCAGCAGATGGTGCTACTTGTATTCGTAGCGTATTGATGCAGCGAGGTGTACCTTACCGGCCCAAAAAGAGTTGTGTTCCGCAGATCCGGGCCCGTGCGTATTCCAAGTTCACTGAAAGTGGCAGGCGGGCTCTCACGTCCAGTTCTCGGTTCGGCCCCGATGCTATTCTGGAGGCTGCCCATCGCACAGGCACTGTGAGCACACACCGCAGAGTTTTATTGCACCGTGGCGTACACCCTCCGGCAACGGTCACGACAGCCGTATGAGCCGTCTCCCTGCTTATGCTGCACGCGTTGCGCGCGCCTTCCGCAACGCCGGAAGTTGGTTCGACGCGAAGTCCTTATCGAAAAAGGCATATCACGTGCACGCGCATCTCCTGGCGCTCATTTTGAATTTGCCACGCACAGAGCGACGGCCGAGAGATGACCTCCGAATGAAATGCCCTTCCGCTAGAGGAGGAGGAGGAATAAATGAGGAAGGACAGGGAGGTTAGCCAGTTCTCATGCCGGCTGGCTACCCTGTACTGGGGAAGGGGGTAAGGGGGATAAAGGATGAGAGAAAAGAGACGTTGCAAAAAAAAAAAAAAAGGAGAGAGAAGGTCATCAGATGATCCACGACGCTGTTTACAGTCTGTCTCTAAGACCACTTGCCCGCAGAAAGCTAGAGCTCACAAATGAATAGGGCATTACAGACAACGAAGGTTCGTGAGGTGCCGAGGCGCTTGCCCCGTTATCCAATTCAACGGGCGCACGAGGGCGTTCCAACTTCCAAGACTAGTGAATGCAGGCGCGGATCTCCCGTTGAACCTAAAGCTGTATTCACACGACAGGCGGAATCGTTGTCCGACCCCGGGGATCACGTACTACGTCATCATCATCATCATCATCATCATCATGCATCATCATCATTATCCTGACTACGCCCACTGCAGGACAAGGGCCTCTCCCATGTTCCACCCGTCAACTCGGTCCTGTACTTGCTGCTGCCACTTTATACCCACGAATCGAACTTCCTAATCTCATCTGTCCACCCAACTTTCTGTCTCCCTCTCACCCGCTTGCCTTCTCTGGGAATCCAGTCGGTTACCCTTAATGGCCAGCGGTCATCCTGCCTACGCGCTATGTGTCCGGCAACGTTCTTCTTGATTTCAACTACAATATCCGTATCTCCAGTTTGTTCCTTGATTCACTCTGCTCTTTTCTTGTGTCTTAAGGTTACATACCTATCATTTTCCTTTCCATCGCTGGCTGCGTCGTCCTCAATTTAAGGTGAACCCTCTTTGTAAGCCTCTAGGTTTCTGATCCGTAGGTAACTCAATCAACGCTAACGCAAGAAGCCAATCAATGAGCTATAGAGGGAAAGTACAGGGATTGGGCGTCTATAGATGTTGTATTTCTATTTTTCTTTCTTTTGTACTTGTTCAACGTCACGTGCGTAGTCCAGACGCTTTTCTAGGAAAGCGACAGAATCCCTCGTCTGCCAGCCCCGAGGTTTTGAAACCGTGAGACCGCGCCCCACCGCCGCCGATATTGCCTCGACGGGGGTCGCCCTGTGTGTGGTGTGTTTGTGAAAGTGGTGCGTAGTTACGTCAACAGGATGGGACGGACTGCGTGGAGGGAGACGCTCATAAGATCTCGTAGAGAGCGGACATGTGTCAAGACGCTGAGGTTTTCCGTGTTCTTTCTTTGTGTTACGTTTAAGAATATGTTTTTTTTTCAGTTCTTAACAAATTTGACTTTTGTCTTTCTTTAATACAATAAGATATACAGCTGGACCCTTAAAAACTCTTTACTTATAAATTGTCTCAAAACAAAAGCTGTTATTTTTTCGTGCCAAATCTCCCCTCAATGAAACCACTGAACCCTACAATCTCATGTTAAATAGCAGCATAATCGAATTTTCTTCCACCGCGAAGTCTTTGGGCGTTGTTTTCCATGAACACAAGAAATGGGATTATCGCACGGAATTTTTATACAGTAAGCTTTGCAAAGTATTGGGTGTCTTGAGAAAATGTCAGGGTTTATTGCCAGTTCCTCAAAAACTTCTGATATTTAATGCGCTCTTTACATCACATCTGAGTTACTGCAACTTAATTTGGGGTAATGGAACAAAGCAATCTATTAGTAATCTTATTATCTTACAAAAAAAGGCGCTACGATCTGTTGCTAACCTCCTTTTAATGCCCATACTTCACAATTATTTGCTAAATACAAAATAATCAAATTAAACCTGCTCTACGAATATTCTTTAGCAGTCTCTTTTAGATCTGATACCATAAAAGGTCACGGCTATATACGTAGTTTAGCTAACTTGCAATTAAATCCTTCAACGCGCCTAAACCGACACTCTGAATATTGGCATGTACCGAGACCGCGCACAAATTATGGCTTTCAGACATTGAGTTATTGCTTGCCGCGTATACTAAATAAATTAGGAATTAATTATGAAAATGTTCGTATGCTCTCTAATATTTTTATTTTAAATATGCTTTATTAATTTGTGTGTAGTATTATTTTCTGTTTGATTACTTCTTTCTTGCGATGTATAGTATGTGCGTTTTTGGTTAGTATAGTTTGTTTAATTTTTTTGTTCTGATGCAAAGCATATGCATTGCTGGTTTAAACTGTCCTGTGTTTAATTTGATTTTGCCGTTTTTGTCGCCACAGTTGCCATGGGAATATAGGGCTTTGTCAAGCTGTTTTATACAGCTTTTTTCCTCTGTCCCAGCCACTTACTGTACGACTGTACGTGGTAAATAAACTAAACTCAAACTCAATCGTCCACACTCGCTTCAGAACAGATACTCGGCTCTTATCGAAAAAAACCGGCCTTAGCGTTGACGCGATGAATGATAATCTGACGAGTATCATTACGGAGTGTGCAGTGGAAGTTGGAGGTACGGTAGTTAGACAGGACACTAGCAAGCTGTCCCAGGAGACGAAGAACCTCAATAAGAAACGTCAAAGCATGAAAGCCTCAAACACAACAGACAAAAGAGAACTGGCAGATCTTTCGAAGTTGATTAATAGGCGTAATGTATCCAATGTAAGAAGGTATAACGTGAAGCGAATTGAACATGCTCTAAAAAAAGGGGGGGGGGGGGGAGCGTCAAAGCGGTGAAGAGGAAACTTGGCATAGGCAAAAACCAGATGTATGCACTAAGGGACAAGGAAGGTTAAGTAACTACCACCATACGTCACCCGAGTCCAAACCACAGTTGGGATCCCCGTGGGGGGAGCGTGAATTCTCGTTCGTCGTGTGAATGATGGCTGCAGAGTGATCGGAATCACGTCACATGACTGATCCGTCCGTGATCACGTCTATCGTGGAAGTCCTCTTCTCTGGGGTATCCTTATGGGCATAGCCAAAAATATTTCCTTGTGAGAGGAGTTCTGCTACACATACCCTTTGTGTATATTCATGAGTAAAGGGCATCCGCAAAACGTTCTGCAGAATCGTGCAGCTACGTAGAGGAAGCAGGGGGACTTTTTTTCACTTCCATTGGAAGAGGGGAGGGGAGGTTGCCAGGAGGCAGCTGCCCCCTTGAACCTTCCTCCGGATGGCCATGTCGCGAGTACTCGCATACGTATCTATCTATCTGTCTAGCCGCATACGACTTCTAGCCATCCTGGCCGTTTCGATAATGGGATCTATACGGAAATTGTTATGACATAACGTGACTCCATGACGAGCATAAGTGACTAGTCATAACGCGAAAATCATCACATATATGTCATGAATGTCATGGTTTACATGTCATGGTCTTGCTGCTCTTGCCGTGGTATCGTTCAATGACATATTGCAAAACTGGTATGGTATGACTGCATGGCAAACATGAGTTACAGGCCCTAACGAGGACATCGTGACATGCGTGTCATGCAAGTCATCAATACATGTCACGCTCATGGTGCGCTCGCGGCCGTTTCGCTAGCTTCACATATACCAAATTTGGTGTATGACGTTGTTACACACTTCGGGTGAGGCCCTGCCGATCTAACATCGACGTGCGGCAGACTCGCAGGCTTGCACTTTACGCTTCGGCCTGCGACGCCTGAAAGGCTTCGAAGTGGTGCATCTCAAGTTTATTTGCAGGTCGGTCGACCCGTGCGGGGTTGCACGTGATGGTGATGTATGGGCCTGACCGACATACTCATAGAGCAGACACGGACATTCGCTTAAACACAGACAAGCATTTAATTAAAACAAGGGCAATGACAAGGAGATTATGAAAATAACACAGGAAAAACACTAATACGCGAATGAAAAGAACAACTACAAAACAAACTACGTTCTAAAAGAACGCTCGAGCAGGTACAAGTAACCACAACGCCAAAAAATAGCAACACGGTGGAAATCAAAAAGAGATACAAGGAAATAATTACGGAACAACGATCATGTGCGCGCTTCTGAACGTCTACGTGCGACGCAGCGCACACAACTACACTTATTGAAAAGCTGGTTATAATAAAATAACAGTCGAAAAAAAAGTAAAAATAAAAAGTTCCATACGAACCAGGCCAGCTCTTGGTACACGTAGGGGAGTTGACGGGGTGCCGCTGAAGGTCTCGCCAGCTTAGTAGGATGCGACCAGGGTGTCCGGTGTTGCAGCCGTCTCAACACGTTGCGCGGGTCACTCCATGCTCGCCGCCTACGCGAGACTCGCGACACCGACGACCGCGCTTCTTGCTGGTTGCACGTGAACTGCCGACTCCGAAGCAGTCCGAAACATTTTCGCTGCGTACGCGTGCTCCCGTCCCCTCTGAAGGCCATTTCCTTTCCTTGAACACATGCGTGCCCCTTCCGGTAGAGGTGTAGGGAAGACACGGTGGCGCCGTTGCGTTGCTGTGTCGTTAGTCGCTGGATGTCGTCTTCCCAACACAAAAGCGCCCTTCCCTGGACGATGGGGCGCGCGGGTGAAACGAAAATTGTAGTCGTTCGTGTGAGACGTGAATGGACGACGAACACAAATGCCAGCTGCAACGATGATAATCATGACATGGAAGTCATGTGCGGCATAATTTACGTCCGCCTCGTAACGCTGTGCTAATTCGAAAGTAATATATCAACCTTCCTCATTCGTGCTTCGCATACCGCCGATTTCTACTGTACGTGGGATCTACCTTTTTTTTATATTGAAGTAATAAAAAAAGCGCCTTTTACTGGTTATCCCATCAGCATGATAGTGTTATAGAAGAAAAACACCGAAACAAGGAAAACTAGAACGAATAAAATAATATGAAAAGGCA